TCGAAATGTACCGCATCAATTCGGGGGATGAGATACCCTCGAAAGACGCGTTGATGAATCATAAGAATGAACTCTTCGCGTCACTGGGCAATACTACTCCCAATGATAGGCGCCCCTACGGAGGTCCTCGATCGCTTCCCAGGAGTAACGATTGATCCTTCCGCGCAGCCCTTCCCTGGATAAGTTCGGACGAGCTCCTCATATGTACTCATATCACTCCTCCCGCTAGGATGGTCCTCCCGCTAATACAGAGCTCCGACGTGCTGAGAGAAGAGCAATGAAAACAGCGTATATTTGAATCATTAAATTCATCGAGATGAATGCGTTTTGTACATGTTTTATTCTGTCACACGTTCGATTTTGATTCCACAGTACAGCGTCGTCATTGTACGGGAAGTATTTCCCGATGTAATCGTTATCGCCAGCGTCTGCGCAGAGCGGAGGTCCTTGAGGCTTCTCGCTTACTCGCTGTCAGACTCATAGGCTCTCGTTCCCGCTTCCGCGATTCCCCGAACTTCTTCCCCCTAGTTTCGACCGTTCCCTCACATTGCATGAGACAATATCAACCGTTTCGCTGAGCTATCTTCAACACTGGTATTTTTACACTCAATAAACACAGATAATAAAACGATCAACCTCATTAAGTTTATCGAGCCAGCAGATCTTCCCTGCTCTCTGGGTCGAACCATCAACGATTATCATTCGTGATTCGTGACTATATGACAACGCGAGAGATCAGCTCGCTCGCAGTCGCTCTCGGCTCCTGAGAAGCAACAGCGGAATCCGAGGCCTGTCGTGTCTCTCTTAATATCGCTACTCTCCACTCCATTCCATCGAACCTATCTAATGTTATCTCCATTCAATTATCGTCCTCGCGGTGATCATATACCAAACCATTTCTATGCTTTGCGTGTTCCCCGTCTCCATCGGTTAAGGTGAGACGATTCGTAGATTATTGAGTCTGTTACCGTTGACGATGGTCGGCTTCAGAGCCTGGTGCGAACACTCGCATAAGAGGACGAGTTCTCGAAGCGACCCCCGATTCTCATCCCTGCCGTTATTTGCGGCGGCTTCCGAGATCACGAGTAGCGATGAGCGGGATAGAATGGAGCGGGAACCGATCATTCCCTCGCTTTGATTCTCCGTACAACTACATAGACATATTGTACTTGTATTATAAAGTTCGAGGGCAGCCATCGACTCTGATCCGAGATTGGAGAACTCGGAAATCACTCTGGGGAGTTCTCCTGTCGAAATTGCTCCAAACAGAAACGAATCGCTGTTCGACTCCCCCCTATGACAAATGTTGTTCGCCCATCATCAAGGACGCTCGGATTCGATAAAGCTCCGGAGGGGGCGCTTTCGACAATGGTAAAACCGTTTCCGAATGCTTACAGACTAGAATTCGGGGGTATCGACTCGGTGACAGGAGGTAAATAAGTGTATCCATCGGTCTGAGTCGCATTTCTGACATCACCTTCGCAGATCCAAGTTCTTTGAAGGGAAATCCTCGAGGGGAGATAGGCAGAAAGAATAGTTGGCAGGTTGGGTAATCTGCGCAATCGTCGGATCGTGTATTCTGCGCTCAGTACCCTCATAATAATGGTTAGACTGGGAGAGTGAGAATTTCAGATCGTAGACAGGAATATCAGAACGAGAACCATCAACGATGCGATTCACATCATCAAGTCAAGTGCTTGATTTACGATTGGGGGTTGATCGGCGCAGAATGCTTCCCGTGCATACACGAGCTTATCCATCACATAGGTGGCAAAAAGACACGGTCGAAATCTTGATCGTGTCATTGACGGAGCTGTGGAGGCTCGGAGAACACGGATGATACCCTCGCTCCATTTTCATCTGCTTGACCCTCGAGGGAGATCAAGACGCGTCCGCAGGATCGCTCCTAGAAAATGCTTGAATGGATTCTGAGAAAGCTCAGACTCCGAAAGAATGACCCGCTCATGTATTTCCACATAAATCCCAAAAAACTCCCGGAGGGCCCTAGTCCATGGCCTTCCCCCCTCACCCGCTGAAGTCCCTCCACGGACGCGTATGAAGAGTATGGTCAACTGATGAGGAGAAATCCTGGGGCACAATGTGCTTGTGTCGATTCCTCTAACATAAGGTGTATGCTTTGTACTCTAAGCAGTCCCTTTCTTCTTAGAAAAAACGCGATTTCCGCTCGTTCGGATCCGTTCGGGAATGTCGCCCCCGAAGAATCACATTCTAGTAAGAGACAATAATACTTGTTCAACGGACAAAGTCTTCAACGAATCATCTCTGATATTCAGGAGATTCTATATACATTAAGAATAATAAGCCGTTGTTTCCTTTATACGATAGGGGAATCTACGTTGATCCAGACGCACGGATCGAAGCCGTATCAGCTTCCTCTGATTCTGGTAATCGCCGTTGGCTGACTACCGAGTCAACATAATATGTAGATCCTCGTTCGTCTGCTGAGTGGAGGAATTCGAAAACATTGCTCAGTATCTCACTCTGTCGAAAGTAGTGTAAACCAGTCAGCCAATTGAGAAGGAATTGACGCGACTAATCGATCAGCTGGGGAGAATCAATGTTTTTCTTTGTGGTATAAGGAATCTGTTCACACTCGAAGCTTTTATTGGGATATTCCGTTTAGTGCCACCCTTTGATTTCCGTCCGCGAAATAGAAACACTATCGGACAGAAGTGATAATCCAACGTAACAAGAGCGACATTCTGTGTGATGCTGGAGTGTGAACGGATCCGCCAAATCTAACTTGAGAACGGATGGCACAGAGATTTCTTTGAAACGTCGTCCGCTCCTCGGCGAAATGCCTGCTGCCTTCCCTATCGAACGTGAAGAGTATATCTGTGTGCCTTAGCTGAGGTAAACCTTCGAGGTTGCGCGCGCACGTGACCACCCCCGTCGGGGAGTGGCACTTGTAATTGGTATTACGACGAACTCTACACTTATCCTAAGTGATCTAGAACCATGAATATGAAACCACCCATACATCATCCATTCATTAATTCATTCATTCGCTCATCCGGCAGTCACTCGTGCACACAACATCGTTATCAGCAGAAAAGATCCGATTCCATCTATCGTCTTGCCCGATCGTACGCGACGCCATGGGATTCCGACGACCATCGAAGTTACTCACGAGCCAAATCCATACCGGGACACATAAGAAACAAACCATTCGATGAAACAACGGTGAACGTTGAGAGCCGCGACAACATGCTTACTAGTCATCCATTCAGGCCACTCGGTTCGTACACGCTGAACCCACTTATGCTCCATGAGCGCCTTCCCTAGGGCACTCGCTACAGGATCTCTCAAATAGCATCATTAGTCCTGGTAAGCAGAAGTACGGGTCTGGTAGGGATAGTCGCAAGGTACTTCTTCAATTTTATCGGTCGCAGACTCATGGGTTGGTGGCTTGCTATAGAAGTGGAGTAATAGTAGAAGTACATAGTGGACGCCATAGTAGTTGGAGAGAACATACCTCATCATGAGAAATCTATGCATGTAGCATGAATAGTTTGAAGTATGAAAACACATCGTACTAAGATGTCTACTGATAGTCGGTCATTTGTTTCGCTCACGACTCTTGTTGGCTGGCTTTCTTCTCTTCTTTAGACACCAGGAGCGGAGGGCACACTCGATCTAAGTGAACTCAAGTTTACAGACGCCTCCGTCCCATGGTTATGGAGGCGATTTCATCGTCATCAGTAGGCCGTCAACAAGGGAACTTTATCCTTCAAAGATCTAATCCACCGAGTCTGATGCCTATACCGACCCGAATACCCGTCCTGGTGACTAGGACTGAACACAGAACACGGTCAGTTCCGTTGCAAAAGCATGCGATGTCGGTACGAAGTCTTCGAATCCGTGGTGCCTGACCTCAGGATCTGCGACTCCATCTCCCATAAGAGCGGCTCGAGTAGTTGAGCTCTGGATGACTCAGTCAGCTGACCTTCTGTTTCGAACGCGCTGACTTCTGAAGAAGGTGTCGAAGGCGCCGCGCCTTCGAATCCCCTCTGCTTTAGCCTACCCAAACCAGTTCTTTCAAGCAAAAAAAAACCTCAGAAAAATGAAAAAGACTCAGACTGAAACCGACAAAATCGGAACCTTTGAACAGAATCCCCCAATCTGTGACAAATGGAAAGAATCGGCCAATATTCTATTGCATCGTTTACGTGATCTTCATATCATATTCGCGGGCCACAAAACTGAGGCTCTCGATTCCGATGCTGCTTGAATTCTTCCTCAGGTTCCCGCAGTCCCATGTACAGTCGATGAAAATCAAGACTGTACATGAGGCTATTTTTTATCCGTCATCGATTCACTGTTCTCATTGGGCTCCGCCTTCCTCGTCACTTGCTCGGTTCGAAGTACTTGCCATGAGAGAACTAATCGTCATTCTTGCTTTTCTTCTGCCGTCTGGTGTCATCATATTTTTTCATTATTTATGATGTTGGTGTGATTCCTGTTGGGGAGACCCGTCGTCTGCTCCGGGATCGCTCGAGAATTACTCTTCATAGCGAAAGTCGTGGAGCCTCCTATTGGTAGCCTTCCGAAGGCTCAATTGTTCTGGATAATGCATGGGAACAATGTTCGTGGAACATTACAATATCATGCAAGCATATACGTGAGTTAATTGAGTCCTGACAATCCTTCGACGAGGGTGTTCTCCAAGAGTTTGTAAGCAACACCCAGTCAGATTGAACGGCTAGCTTGGAACTCCTAATGTTCGTCCTGTGGGTTGTATGGTTCTTCATGTTGTGTACGTTGGCAGCCCTCACTTGCATGAAAATCCGTAGCACAAAATTTACTGAAATCACTGAAACGCGATCCTGGACGATCGGTCACGAGACCTACATTGACCGATCGCAACGGCGGCAGAGGCAATCGCGTCACTCGTCGCCATTTGAAGGTCGAAAGAAATCGTTCCGGCCAATACATTAGGCTAACCGTAATTGTATCATATCCACTGTATCGAGCAACGATCATAAATATTCAACTATATCACATTTCACGGAGGGGTAGCTTGCAAAGAGTGCCGCACGATCTTGGTGAGTCAGTCCGGCAGTTGCGACACTAGCGGAGCCTGCGCTCTGATTCGAGAAGAGGTAAGGCAGGAACTGCGATGAGGCGGTCAGACCCCTCAGGGTGACCCCGCTGTTGGTACCGCTGTCGGCCTGTGATGTTCGGCCGGCTTCATGTTGCGCCGAGTCTTCTGCTTGCCCTTGGCGGAGAGCTCCGAGGCTTTTTGTCCTCCGACGAACCCGTGAGTCCATCCCAACGCATGTGCATTCCCCGCCGGGGCCGACTCCCCCAACACCTGGGGATAGAGAGAGGAAACTGACCCTGACGTTCAGTTCGGCCGACTTTCGTGCGATAAGGGTGCAATCGATCCAGCAGCAAGGCTGCCCACGCGGATTCCCAAGCCCTGCTGTATCGCTGAAGAAATTGCCATCTTGTGGGATCTTCATCGGAGAGGAGAAAAACTCCATCCGTATTCTTCCCTGCACCCGACCGCCGAGCAGCTGTCTCCAGGGAGCGCCATTAATTGCTTTCTCCACGGAAGTGAGCGTGCAACAGACGAGAAGAAGAACCCTACCGTTGAGACCGTAGTCGATAATATTGTTGATGGTCTTCGTTGGGCCAACATCTTCAGCTCCATAGCCGCGATTCCTGTGGTTCATCTGTGATGCGCACATCATACCGGTGCCAAAACAGCTCTGCAAAGATCACACGGCGTTAATGAGCGGAGGACGGAGAGCTTCCGTGATTGTGTCACGCTGGCGACACGACACCGGTCCAAAGCATGGATCGGCCCACCGGCCGCTCCGGCAGACACACGGACTGACAGACAGGCAGAAGGACTGACAATCAATCAGTCGGTCATTCTCAATCAGTTGCTGATGAATTGACGGGCTTGGCGAAGTGCTTACCGAGCTGTGCTTGACGTTATCAGGACTGTGGTGTCCCTCGTCGATACCGTCGTCGACCTCATCGGTCAATGAGGGCTGATAGCACACTTGCTGGGCTTGCATCATTTGCTGTACCTCTGAAATCAGCGACAGCGGCCGAAGAGTCTGCAGAACTTGAACACTTGCAGTACCCTCTCCGATTTCGCTTTCTACACCAACGTTGCCAACGTTTCCGCATGCGTTCACTGCGCCCTCTAGGATCGAGGTCGCCACAAGCAGACTGCCCTGAAGCGACGCCATCGAAAGCTTCCTGGAATCGAGGAATAAGACGGGCTTGAGTACGAGACGCTCGAGGAAAGAAACGTAGAGAATAGGTCCGCCCCCTTCCGCCTTTCTCCCGTGGAAGCATGAAGCATGGATCGCTATTCGCTCGGCCGGGTTACTCTAATTCTCGAGCGTCAAAAATCCAAACTCAAATCCTAAGAGCAGCATTCCCTGCTGGAAAAAGTTATGGCTTCGAATCGAGGCTCCGGATTTACGTCTATTCGCATCACGTCCTCGGGCTTCCTGAGGATCAAGTCAAGCAGCGTACGTCCAACAAGTTTTGACGCGGTTCAGGAACGGATTCGTACCTGCTGTCGGACTTGTGATGGTGGATCAGATTATCAGTATCCTCCGAAGTCGATATCACTGAGTCCTGGCGGTATGACCGGAGGGCTTGACATTCGTCGTGAAACTTGGGGTTGTACTCTGCAATTTTCGGAAACAATTGGTCTTATCGTCTGTCTTGGATCGGAGAATCTAGCGACAAAAAAATTGACGGGCCACTCCGGTACCCCTCTCGTTGGCCGTCGCATCGGTCCCCGACTTCGACCAAATGCTTCCACCGTCGAGTGCGTCCATCGTTCAGATAGGGAAAGCTCCGGTATTGCCGTTTTATCTCTGGCTCCTGATGCTGAAGCACAAACCAGGGCTCGAGTTGAAGCGAACGGAAGCCTTTATCACAGCAGCTGTCGCGGGTCGCCAAACAAGCTGCCAGTTATCCCAGTGGATTGCACGCTCGCTCTCTACCTTTCTCCCTTCGCTCGTTCGTTCGTTTGTTTATTTGTTTGCTTGGTGGCTGGCCGAGCTTCGCCCGTGTTTTTTCTGTGCATCCAACCTATAACCATCTATTCTTACCTTGCGTTGCCTTTTGTGACGTGGAGTTGCTCTGGGATTGCGAGGGTGAGGGTGAGCTCACTTCAGGAATTGTACTTATGGGTACTTTGCTCGCACCGCTGGATTCTTGGTGCTGGTTTGTTATCACGATTTGAACCGGATCTGGCTGATTGAGTTGGGCAACCAGCTGCTGGAGCTCTTTACTTTTCTGCAAAGGAATATTCGGACGATGGTAGAGCCGAGTACTCGATAGTCGAGCGACGGATTGACCCATGTCACCGGTCTCAGCCCGCTCAGGACCTGCCTTCCGTCAGCGTGCCTCCCTCATCGTTGAGCGGAAACCGATTGAGATCGTAAATGGAGCTCACCTCTTCGAGACGCGTCCTGCAACGGACGTTGTCATCTTGCAGCTGCTTGATCCGGTTGTTCGCGTTGCTATCTGAATCGGAATCTCTCCTCGATTTCTTTAACGGCTTCAGGGTGGCCCGAACGCGTTGCTCGCCGGCTGCGGGATTTCGGCGAAGTTCTACCAACTGGGGGAAGAGGTAGGCGGATATCACTACATTAGCTTCGCCTGCCTTTTTACTTTCTGCAGCAGCAGACTCAATGACGTTTGCTCGTTTACCAAGAAGAAGGTTATTCGGGTCTGCCCAGGCCGAGTTTCCTTCATTTCTCGCATGCAATAATTAGTTCTCGTCTGTTCCTATCCATAAAGCAAAGCAAGCCCAGCTATTCCAGGACAAACATCCTTCCCTCCTCTACTCGAGCCTAATAGGCCCTCAAGGAGAGGTCTGTGTGTCTGCTCGGCCTCAGCTGCTCGCCAACCAAGCAACTCGCTTGCGTGAGGCCCTATCGGGGTTGATGTTCCTTTGCCGCCGCCCCACTGCCATACTTGAGCCTTGTGGGAGTCTGCTTAACACATCTCTTTTGCTAGTTGCCATCGGTCCTTCCCCATCGTTGTTTCTCCCACTATTCCTCTTGCTTGTTCCTGCTGGAGGCATAGGCCTAGCTAATCCCAATGCTCGCTGTTGGCTTTTAATTTGGACGGAAATACTAGACAAATAGGAGCTCTACATCTCCCTCTCCACGGTGCGGCACCGCAAGTCTTCTGTGATGCTCTTATTCAACAGTCAGGCTGTCCCCACTCGTCGAAGCTCAACGAACAAATGCAGGCAATAGTTTTCCGATGGCCCCACAGGCACTCGCTCTCGAAGCAATTACTTCTCTATTTGACAACGACAGTGAGACTTACGCCCAGTCGGATGCCCTTCGAAAGGTTGTGGTTGCGTAAGGCGATGATATCTAACATGTAAGAATATACTGTGTGAGAGTCGCGGGCTCACCTTGGGGACGAACACTAGACAAAGAGTTGTCGTGGAGCAAAATATGATGAACACTGATATGATGATGAAGGCAGCGTCCTGGTGATCTCGCAGAACAAACGAAATGGCGGCTCCAATCGAGCACATGATCACCACGTTGTAGACACTCATGCCCACATACTGCGTTCCGGCGATCCCGAACGAGCCGTGACATGGCGGATGAACGCACGAATTGCCGGATGAGGGACGCACAAGTTGAGAGATAAAGGGAAGGAAGATGCGTTCCATTATTGCGTGTTCGGCTCATCGAACCGAGCGTTCGATGTCATCGAAAGCCTCCCTCGCTCAGGTATCTCGAAGATCAGTTTGATAGAACTCACAGGACGAACTCCGCAGACCACGGTAAGGAACCCATCAGGGAAGGAAACTACCCCATTCTCGTCAACTAGGCCTTAGAGTGATCATCTGACCCTTCACTCACTTTGGAATCGTTGAGGGCGGGGATCGAGACATGACGCGTCTCCCAGGCAAGGAAACAGCCGAAGATCATGAGTAGGCCTTTGTATCCGTAGACGATGCCCAGGAAAATAGTCATGTGCTCACTTTGGCAGTACTCCATCTCCGGTATGACCGCAATGTCGTCGTCTGACGTCTATGGCGTGGTAAGCTAGCATTAGATCAAAGTCTCCTCTCTCTGCTCCCAAGTAATCCGTTGAGGGTCTTCTACCTCAGAACTTGACTTGCTCTCCGAGGCCGCGGTTCGGCATTCGGAAAAATTCACTCTCAGTCAGGCGACTAGGTACTCACCACTGGATCTCCCCTTTTTACGTCCCTATAGAACGGATCTATGATTTGCCACGTTGTCAATATGATAATGTCCAGTAGCAGGAATACACCAACGACCATAAACAGTTTATAATCTTTGATCACCTGGAAGCGGCGACAGTGTCACTAGGAAGCTCACAAAACGACGTGGAGAGCCCTTCACTCCGCGATGAAAATTCAATCGGCGATAAGCTTCCCGATACGTGGCAAGGTGTCTGAGGGAAAGCTTCGATGTCCGTCCGCCTGTCAATCAAGCGAGGCGAACCGACAGCCCCCTGTCCGGCTGTTGTCATCGCTATCCGGACAGCAGCAGATCGCGTCGACTCGATCATTGCATTATTTATAGTGTTATCAATGGAACTCGGGCTAATTGAATCGACCTGCGAGCCGTTCTAATTGGTTTTGACGATTTTTCCCATCGTGATCCGAGACAGGCAGATCGCGGATCGGATGGCCGGGTGTACTCATTCTCTGCTCCTTTTTTATGCTTACTTTTTTGTTGAGCTTGATATTGGTGAAGATAGCGTGAACTCTCCATGTTTTGCTGAACATAGCACCGAAGGCCAAGGTGAATCCAGACATGAGCACCCAGGCCCGCGCCTGAAACCAGATGAGCGGTTATAGGCTCGTTCCCGCTGTAAGATCATTCTGACTCACTGCCACGGCCATCAACCCAGACACCATTCACCATGTAAGCCGCCATACACCCTCAGTCAGCGAGACCCTGCCATTACGCCCCGCTCACACATGGGCGCACAACACAATCCCTTACGTTCAGTGAGCGGAAATGCCTCTTGTCCTTCCGTCTCCGCTGCTTCCCCGAGGACCAGACCCCCAATTCCACCAACACCGCCACCACCATCATCATCTGCTGTGCCATAGTCTCCTCCCCTCCGCGCTGACCCAGTGACTGACCGTCGGGCCGACCGGCTGAGGAAGTGCTTGCGGAACCGAAGGAGACAGACGGGAATAGGGCAAAGGGAGACGAAACGCCTGACATTAGGGCAGAGCACTTCCGAAGCCAGCGAGGAAGCCGTTGGTGCTCTCGCGCATCCAAAAAGAGGCGGCTGCATCTTGACGGGATATGAAACGATCGAGAAGGATAAATCCATCACGGACGCACAAGTTCCACCTGGCGCTGCCGGACGGCGGTCGACAAGTTCTCTTCGCCGAGGTCGTCAGCTTGGATGGTATTAGTTCCGACCTTGAAGAGCCGCCGACGAGAAATCTCGCCGTTTCGGTCGACTTCATGCTCTCCTCTCGAACTCGTCGATTCAGAAGTAGGACTCCGGAAAAAACTACGATCACTCCACGGTCCGAGCGTCCCGCTCAACGCGGATTCCCGGAACGACGATGCTCTGCCAAAATCCCCCGGATGTCAGGATGTACTTACGGCACAGATGTAGGGGAAGTTCTCAACGGATGTGAATCCCGAGTCCATGCCGAGCAGGATAACCGAGGTGTATGTCAGCATACAGCCCACAATGATAAGGTTATTGAGGTAGGGACTGCTCATCTTGATGTAGCGTTGATTCCGGAAGCGGATGTTAATGGTAAGAAAGACAGTGGCCAGGACGATCCCCACGATGCAGGTGACACTGACGGCCGCGTACATTGTGGGATTCACTCGCGTCCTTTCAATGACTTCTTGAGACCGGTCTTTGGGTGGCGTTCTCCCATCTGTAATCGAAGCGGTCTCGCACATGAATCAAGGTTCGTCAAGCCGACGTGAAGCGCGACGAAGCCGAGACATTCAGAGCCCTCGGGAGCATCACCGCTCGGAGAATCACTCGGGTAGAAAACAATAATAATGATAATAATAATAATAATAATAATAATCGACCCTCTGCATTCATGAAACATCCCTGATGATCTTGTGATCCTGAAATTTTCTGAGATCGGGATAAAAGTCAAGTCACTCAGTTATTCATGAGTCCAAAGTAATCACCTCTCCAAATGATGCTATGTCCTTTATTGAGGTCGAGCCGGTCTTCCAAACAATCGTATTCTCCAATTTTCACCTCCCCGGATCCCTCTGCAACAAAGTTCCACGATTCGTTTATGGTCCGAACATGAATATTGAATCATCTCCAGCCAGGCAGACTCAGAGTTGAGACTAATGATCGACGGCGAGGATCCAAACTCACTTTGGAATTGTTTTATGAGCACTTGACCTTTCCGCTCGTTCTTGAAAAATCGCACTGGACCCTGCGAGAGAATGATCGCTCATTAGTTCCCGAATCTCGAGTCTGTGGGAACCTATGCCTTTGTCGCGTCCATCCGCCGCGAGCCGGTCAGTGGGCAGCAGCGGCGGCGACGGTGGCTGCGGCTAAATATTCATTCCCCATCCTGCCGACAGGCCCGCGAGATGAAATATCGGTGGAATCCAATACAGGTTGTCGATTACTCACCGTAACTCCAATGAAATCCGTTTCGTTGAGGGCCTCGCGGAATAGTTTCCCCCACGTGCTGTTCCGGTATTGGAAGTCGGTGACTTTTGTGAAACTTTTCGGTGTTTCCTGGGCTCGTAACTTATTGATGACGTTGTGCACTGCGAGTGCCAAGGTCCAGATACCGTCGTAAGCGTAGCCGTGGAAGCGGCTGTATTCCTTGTAACGCAGCTTGTTGTACTGTGCTTCGTACTCGCTCGGAGTCTGAAAGTGAGCATCGTGAATAAGTTCCGCCAAGCGGCAACATTTGCGTCGGTCCACTCGACCGCAAACTCCCCCTCTACCTCCCGAGCTTCACGAGGTTGCGGAAAACCGATTGAATATCCGCAGTGTTTACGCACAGGTGTGCATCGGGGAGCATGATTCGAAAGAGGATGCTTCGTCACCGCTTCACGGGGTCCGGGACACTCTCGCAGCGCAAGAGCAAAGCTCTCGCGCGAAGGCAGTGGCGTTCGCAGGATTGCTTTCGTAGGATCGCATTCGAGGAGGCGAGGATTCGAAATGGAGAAGTGCTGCTATGCATACTTCAACACTGCGAACGAGATACCCATCCAAGGGTTGGGAGCTCAGCTCTCGCAGCTTCCTGCAGACGTGTCTGCGTGAATGTGTTTATTACAGCCCTGCACCATCAGCACTATTCTCTGCATCGATTCCATCAAAAGATCATCACTAGACACTGGACCGAATCCAAGGAGGTCGATGGACTCTGAAAGTTTAGAGTGAGCACCGATCTCTCCAGCCGATAGACAGCTCGTATGAACTATGGACGTTTTTGAAAAGTTTCCCTTCGCTACCGCAGCGGTCGGAAGTGGCGGCAGGGAGCGAGCTGCTCCCCTGAATGAATAAATCGTGTAAGACGTGAGGAATCTAAAAATTTTCACGGGTCCCAGCTGACCGGTCGAGGATGACCATTTGACGTCGATATTGAGAGGCAACGGGGACAGATGTGCGAGCGCACGAGCGAGAGACAGGTCGCGGCGGATGCAGCGATAAATTAGAAAAGGAGCGTAATGATTCATCCTTCCATAAAGCACGACCACCTCATCGAGCCGTTCGCCGTGCCGGCTTGTCTGCCGACCGATCGGTCATCGCGGTGAAACATCGTCTCGCCTGGATGGTCGGCTACAGCCTTGAAGGTCTCGCTCGACGCTCCATCGCTGCGTCGATCGCCAGGCTACATGGACCGCAGCGATGAATGGCCTTCCGGTATCGGCCTCTTTTTCGCCTCATTCATCCCTATGAGTTTGTCGATAGCGAGAAGAGTCGGTCGCCCCCTCCCGCCTTTATCACTCGGTCGAAGCGGTCCTCCGCATCTCCTCAGGAATCCCTCGGTCCTTCTCCCTCAATAATCCGGCTGCTTGAAATCTTCCTCACAAGTCCGACCAACGGATATTTGGACTTGTCCGCTGCCGGCTCCCACCTGCCCAAGTATGTATGTTGTGCCCGCGTGGCGGGTCACTCGGTGGGCCAGTTGGCCGGCTCGCAGGGACAAGGGTTGACTACTCACCCAACCGGAGACGGTTATATTCTCGTTCGTACTGAGAGGAAGAAGATCGAGCCCGATGTAACCATGAATAGCCTCTTGCAACTCCTCTGGACTACAAGTTACATCGGATTGCTTGACCTCCCACCATTTTGGTCTGTACATGGCGGCGATGATCCACTGATACTTGCGGCCGAACATCTTCGAACGATACGCGGAGCAGAACACTTTGCGCGCCCACTCTTCGTCGAAGTTGCCCAGGATTATCCGAACATCGATGTCCTGAAGAACGGGAGGAGGGAACCAGAAAGGAAAACCTTTATTCGCCTCAAATCGAAGTGGGCATTTATGAGTTCCGCGGAATTATGTTTTTTCCTCAACCTTGTCAGCATCTACAGAAGTCGGGTTCCCTGGTAAATAATGTCGTATGCTTTTCAGTCTGATTCCCGAGACCAACGAAAAGACGCCCACTCAGAGAAGAAACATGAGCTATTCCCTCACTGAGTAAAGTCAACCAACCTACCTACCGACCAATCTACCACCCATCCACCAACCGAGGTAAGACGGCGATTCAAAGAACTCCGTCAGCCTCCTCTAACACTGGCTTTGCAATTTGCGTAATTTGATAACGTCGGGGTCTAATTAGAGAACGAAGGCGACAGCGACGGCGCGGCACCGCCAACTGGGACGCTGTGAAAACGGAGAACAGGAAGAAAGCTCCCTACTTCAAAAGCTGACCCAAAGAAACCCAAGGGAAGACCCTTCTTCTCGATTCCCCGAGGACGGAGAGCGAGAGGGAGAGACGAAGAACTCACTCGGAGTTTGCTGAGTTCGTCTGTGAGGTCATCGCCTTCACCGATGCCTCCTATCTCGTCGATTGTGATCTTCTCTTTATCGAGCTCGGTGTGGAGAGCGTTCTGTGGCTGGAAATAGAAGTTTGGGATTCAATTGCAATGTTCGACTTCCTGGGTATCCTCGTGGATGCCGATTTCCGAAATCACTCAAAGCTGGCAAAACTTCGGAGGCTTCCATGATGCCGGACCAGCGCACCCGACATTGTGTTTCTGCCCGAACAAGGCATATGCATCCTCTTGACGTGGAGCTTTGCACGTCGATCATCGCTCTGAAACGATTCGATAACCTACCAGAGAATGTCGCGGGTTTGTTTGGTACAACGACCCAACGCGGGTCCAGTTGAAGTGTTTGAGCAGGGAGACCATCGCGGGATTAAACGCAGCCTCGCTTGGCACTACTCGGAAAAAATTCGGGTAGTTTTCGTCCGAATACATTGGATGTGTGTCCGCATACGACAACTGGAATCAAACGAGAGAGGTGTATGAGTTAACACGTTGAAGTTCCCGAGCTTCGACAACCGAAAAATCGCAAGCTCCATAGATCGAGTTTGCTCATGAGCAGGGAAGATGAGCGTTGGACGGTCGTCCGTGCCTTACGATGCGAAAAGGACTCACCTGAACCAATTCGAAAAATTGAGAAGCCTTCGCGATTGGATCCGTGACAGCGTTGCAAGCCGCCCCGAAAAGTGCCAATTTCTTGGGATGACTGTGAACCATATCGAAAAAGGATTTCATGCCAACGGCAGGATCACACTGAAATGGGAAAGAAACTTGCCCTGAGATTATGTAGAAGGTCTTGACCCGGTTATGACCCCGATGGGGATCGATTATGATTTGCCTTTGGTCAAAATCATCGTCGACCGGCGTAGTGTCGGCTCGCTTGTCCTTCTCAACCGCATCTCTGTGTCTCTCGTCTTCTTCCCTGTTCGGGAGCTTCTCCGCTACCCGTGAGACGGAGCGGATGAAAAACTGAAAAAGAACTGTCTGAGTCTACTGCTGTAGTCTCAGAGAGTCTAAATCTTCACTTCTATCTCTGCTCTTCTCGTTCCTCTGTTTCTTCGGATCCGTCTGTCTTCCCCTTCTTTTCTTCTTTTTTCTCTCATATAGCGCTGTGAGGAAGTAACGCTTTCTTCACCTCCGCCGTTCCCCGACCCTCGCCCTGTCGTTCGCTTACCCGTCCATCCGCTTACAGCTGCAAAATCAGACCCAGCAGGCTCCATCACCGGTAAGGCCGCCACGTTTCGGGCCTCGCGAGAGCAGTGTGTGGAGCGAGTTCGCGAAAAAGAGCAGTCGACCGACCGGTCGGCCGGTCGACCGGACTAAGACGAACCCAGAGTCGTCTAACTTTTTGATTCTTCATCTCCCCCGGAGCCTACAGCGATTTCATATCCGGTGGCAGAGATAGTAGAACAACGGAGGGACTCTTGAAGCGCGGCAATGGCTATGGAGCTCAGGGAGCTCCCGAAGCAATGCGTGACGTGATGACTTTCCACCCGATGTTGATTCAATTACGTCGACCCTCGACCAAGTAAAACTCGATCGACATTGGCCGAATCATCAATGCGCGAGACACAATTGAGGCTTTTCTACGGGCGTCATTATTCTCGTCGGTATCCTTCGCCGCCGATTCGACCGCTTACGTATTGTCGATTGATCCACGACGCCACCAATATTTGCGTAAGAGTTACGCTTGACGAATGAGTTGCCTCTACTTGTGTGTGGGCATACTTAGGTGTGTTTACTGATCAAGAGGCGTGGCGATGATGGAACTATTGCACAAGAAACTTCTTGCGTAAGTCAAAGATTCGACCAGTCAGCGGTGATTCGAACTTCTTTACTTTCAGGTGAGCTCACGGTATCGCATCGCGCGAGGCTCTGGCGGGCTGGAATCGGCTTTGAGCAGAAGTGTGAGCAGAAATTCGGTGAGCATTCCGCGGTGGAGCCGCGCTCGGAAGAATTTTCCCAAACCTGACGAGAGCCCGGGGTTTATTCCGGGAACTTTCGTCACGCTTCGGAGGAGAGATAAGCGTTCCGACTCGAGAGATTTTCAAGGGAATATCTCAGCAGCGTTCGGCGGGCCACGCAAAGATCCTCTGAACTCCCGCGCTATCGGAATTCCGGCTCATTTGTCGGATGTGAGTCTTGCCTATCGGATGAATCGCTCCTTTATGAAGCGGGTAAACACGAGTCATCGATTTTCGAATCTGGCGGAGGAACTTCAGATCTGTGTTATCCACTCAGCCGATATATCCTGCGGCTCTCGCTCCTCGCCCGACGACCTCCTCAAGTCGACATTTCCACTAGTTCCTTTGAGGAGTTGAGCACTCGGAAGGATACTTTTGAGAATAGCCTTCTAGATGTCGCGGATCCAGCCCCGGAAGCACACGAACCGAGGAGATAGTCATCATGTCAACGGGCTGGACCATCGCATAGAATTCCAAGTCTCGGATCAAAGAAAAGGAAGGAGCGCCTTGTCTCTGTGAGTTGCGGCGACCACCGCTAATTCAATGATCGCGAGCACGCCCAGGTCCTTCGGAGGGTCTTCGTGCTGACTCGGCCTTCTGTCCTCTTCCTGTTGTCGCCAATCCCGCCTCGATCTCGACTGAGTCTCGCCCCGGAGCACCGAGATATATATTGAGATCCCTGAAGCATCCATACCCACACGAGCGACACCCTCACTAGCATCTGGAGCGAAGGAGCCCCGCGAGCAAAATTGCAAGGATTGAGGTACGACACACGAGTCACAATGAGCTCCGCTTAACACTGGACTCTAGTTACGATCTCCCACACTTTCCTGGCTCGATATCTGTGCGAGACCTATCCCAGCAGTCTCCTGTGCCGGCGCCCACCTCAAGGATCGGAGCAGCAAGGAGCTCGGAGGGAGCCTCCTTATTATGGTCAATTATCCTTATCTCCAACGGTTCGCGCTATCCTCTGCCTACAGCCCTTTCGGGAGTGCGTGATCGAGTCTCTGGAAACGGTCGGTCCGCGCTGATTTCACTTTTCATCTCTCTGCTCCGGGCGGACGTGATCGCCGCTGCCCGACAGCGAGAACACGGTGATCGAAGAGGGTTATCCAATAAAACGTATCCCGATTAATTTTCTCCGATTCTGAGTCTTCTCGAGAAAACCGATCCCAATAAGGCGGCGGAGGCGCGCGCAGCAGCTGTAGCATCCGAACGCTGGAAGGTTCCGCAGCTGCTCGCAGCAGTTCCCGGCATTCCTGGCTGAATGCGTTCGCACGCTGGTGGCCGAACTGGACGGAGTGCCAAGCCGACACGGGGTCCGAGAGGCCACAGTCTGGAGTTGACAGCGGCTCTCGACTAGCGAAAGAATCTCTTCTGCCTTCGTTCGGTCGCGATGACAGCGCTGCAAACGGAACGAACGCATTCGAAACTGTTCTATGCACCTCTCTATTCATTTCCCTCTGCCTTGCACCTTCTGTCTTGATCCTTCCGGTTGCGTCCGAGGCTGTCATCATCGTTCTTCCGCTTCATTCTCTCTTCCTTAAAGCTCCTCTTCCCTTTTTCCCCCTCTCGTTTCGTTTGTCATAGTCCCCAATTTTCGCTCTTCCCCGGGGCTTCACGACCTCCGGAGAACATCGGTCAAAGTCACCATGCTTGGAAAGGAGAGTGTCCATTCGAGTCAGAGGAATCACCGGGAAACCATCTAGCCTCAGAAATGGCGAATCCTTTCAACGATCCAACGCGAATCGCAGTTGGATGGCGACCCCTCCTCGGTCCCGAACTCTCATGGGATCAGACCGTTCGTGTCATTCACTATGCCATTCCGCCAGCACTTCCTGGTCGATGAAGCTCCGACAACGGAGGTATCGCTGAAGTTCAGATTGGAGAGCGCTCGAGCCGCAGCAAATGGGAGCATGTTACAGGGACTGAAGCACTGGCTCATTATGCATGCACCGGGAATACGTATAGGAACGCAATCAACAAACTGGATAACACCACCGCACGGGAGCTGTCCGTCCGCGTATGCAGCACGAGAATCAGCTGTAGCGGGGTCCGCTCGCAATAGAGGGCGCGGCTGGGAGAGCAAGAGCCACATTTTTAAGTCTCCGTCTTGCTTCCGCTCCCGAGGGCCGAATGGAGAAACCCTCTTCCCGCCATCCGCGCTCGATCGTGGTTCGGGGCTTCCGTTGGGCGACGCACGTCGACTCGATAGATCCGCGACAGATCCCGGTTCCAACTTTGATAAGCGGAAGCAGGGACATGAACAAGTATCCGTGAATCGGATCGCCGGCATCCGAGGAAGTGTCTATGACGATGCCTCAAGGACAGCGTAGAAAGAAGACGAAAGGCTTAGGCAGCGAGTCGCTCGACCGCCAGGGCAAATCTCCTCCCCCACCTTCTCCTGCGAGTGTCGTCGGGGCCGTCGCCTGGTTTTCGTGTACTCGCTCAAGGAGCTGCCTTTCCTAGGGAAGCAGCAAGCGCGCTGTTCTCCTTCCATTCGCCTTTTGTTCCTTGAGGAAGTGTCAGAGCCAGGTACTGTCAAGCTCGTTCTCGGCGGTCGGAGGAGCCAGCCACCGAGCCGGTGTTGAAGCGAGCGCGAGTGTGCCCTGACTAGGCATCCGCCGTGAGGAGACAACTTTCAATCACAGAACTGTCGCCGTGCCGAAAACTTGCAAAGCGGGAAATTGACAGCGCTCCATTGACGCAAATTTCGTTCAAAAGAAATTCGTCCATCGAAATCTTGCGGGAGCTTGCTGCCAGAGTCCAATAAGGAAGAGAATTGAAGTGTGGGGAGATTTTTGCCCTCTTATTTCTGATCTTCGACAACGTCCTTCCACTCCTCTGATAGCGGTCGCCTCTTTACCGCCAGTCCGTATCACGGGGAAGGTTGAAAATGTCTCTTAGCTCCTCACGGGTCTGACGTTTTCGTGGAATCTGATGTTCGTTGACTATACGAGTCTTGATTCCAGTCGGTTTGTCTTGCCGTGCATATTTCAACTGACTTGTCTCTCATTCGAGGGAGGGCAGGATCATGCTCGAGCCAGAGATCACTTCCGGACGGTCGCGTAAATAGCTTGGCGTGCTTCATTCTCGTCAGTCGTGTTGTCGGGTTCCTTGAAAACCCCAAGTCGGTTCACTGGCACGCTCGCTCGTCGTTGGCCGAGCCCCACGACTTTCAGACTGCAGCGAGGATCAGAGCACAACGACAGAGCTCGTGCCCTCCTTTGTTTTTCGTTTCTCGACATTCGTGCAAATGTCGCACAATTGCAGAACGACGATACCTTCGAATTTCCTGCCGTGCACCCGTGTCTGCATGGATGCTCTCTTCTCGCTTCCTTCTGACAGGGAACAAGGACGACGACGTCGACGACGAGACGCACCGATCCTTCGGAAGAGCGATGGAGGCGAGGTGAAGCGAATTCGAACACGGCTCATATTGCAACGATTTGCTGCTGCCGCTGCTGCAGCTGCTTTTGTTCAGCGGAAGGGAAGGCACGCACAGAGGCTCCCGAGACGGGTCACCTCCGACACGGTCCCGCATATCGAGTCGTCATATTCGCCGGAAGACGTTCGCGGATAGATTTCGAGAACTTTTTTTCGAGTAGTCCATTGATCAAGAACGAAAAGGGACAGGATTGCAGAGAATATTATTCCACAGGAAGATTCAAGCCCCCAACGGCGTGAGCGTGCAAGCGGGATGCTCACATGTGAGTCGCTCATAGAACTCGACCCACGCGACATCGCGATGCCAGCTCGTTCCGGCTTCTGCATGAGACTTTTTGTAGG